GGGAGGGTGGGAGGGAGAGAAGATGGCAACAGTTAATTGAAAGGTACATATTTTATGTATTTAGGACAAAGGATACACCTTCCAAAAGCACAGTCATTTTTACAGAAATGGGGTGGGCATTTAAGGTACAGCTCTGATGCTGATGCTCCTGTGTCAGGAAGATGCTTTATAAGCTCTGTAACTGTAAGTGGTTCTGACTGGTTCACCAGAGGCTTGGGCTGCTGGAGACCGGTATTATGGTGACCATTTTCTTTGTTTTGGATTTTGTGAAAGGGTGAAGCTGAGTTTGCCCGAATCATGTCTCTGGTTGACCCCAATGGGCAAGGAACTGTCACTTTCCAGTCCTTCATTGACTTCATGACCAGAGAAACAGCAGACACAGACACGGCTGAGCAAGTGATAGCTTCCTTCAGAATCCTGGCTTCAGATAAGGTCAGTCACCGTGCTGCTGCTGTAAGGATTCAATCGCCCTCCTGTTTAGCCCTTCTTGTTACAAGCCCTTCAGTAACAGTGAAGCTTTGTTTGCAGTTTGTCAGACTTTCACAGAAAGCATGTGCCTTTTCTTCTTGTTTGGAGCCAAGACTCTTACCTGAAATGAGTGCAGAACACAGGGCTTGGTCTGTGTATCCTCATATCACAGAGAGCCAACATAAAATTAGGCATCTTAGACAAGACTTAGATGGTTGGTCTGTATAATGGATATTTGTACATCAGGTTATTTCCACGCAACAGCCTTAATTAGTGGGGAACTCATCCCGCCTTTCATGCTGTTGTCTGGATGTTTCAGTGCAGAGTATGGCCCTCTGGAACATAGCCTAGATCAGGTGCACAAGACTACACCTGACTGTGATCCATGTTGTGACTGGACAGCTCACTCAACAGAGCGATGCAATGTGGTGTATCCATATCCTAGCAGAAGCAGCAGGAGGAGGCCTCCTCTAGTTACTGGGTTTGTAGAGGAAGCTCCTGAATTTGGCATACTTTCGTCCCCACTGCCAGATGCACTTGTGACAGAGTGGTGTTTTAAGATGCAAGGGAGTATAATGGCAACACAAGAGCGTCTGGAGGAGTCAGGGCCATAAACAGTGCTGCCACAAAACCAATCTTTTGCTGTGGAGAAAGAAGAGATCACAGCAGTACAGGTCTATTTGCCCAAGCTTGCTCGATTGATTTTCCTCATTCTAGCTGCTTGTATCGATTTTGTGATCTCAGTTAATGTGGACCACATTTTAAATTCCAGACATGTCCTCAGTAGCAATTCATGTGGAAGATGGTCTCAGGAAAAAGCGGTTTTCATTAGAGTGCTATTTTAAGCAATGTCAAGTCTGTTAACAGAGGGTATCCCTCATGTCATAAATGCAAACCATTAAGAACAATAGTGCATCATTCTTTACACATATTTAGAACTTTGAAACTAATGGGAACTACCTGCATCTGTCCTGTCACTGCAGAAGGGGCAGTAGTGCACTGCAGAGATGCTGACTATCCAGGGATAAGCTGTATCTGTAGCAGTCTGCCCATGGCTGCACAGTGCTTGGTAGCTAACGTACATAGTCACATACCCTGAGACTGCATTTTGACCTCATCAGTTTGTTGGTGAAATTGTCCCCTTCAACTCATAATTTGTGATGGAATTTACTGAGGAAAATATTTGGTCTCAGAAAAATAGGCAAGATGTCCAAATTCATTAGTCACAGCCAGAGAAAATAAATATATTTTGTGTTTTTGGAGAACACATGCTGAACTTGTCAATCCTTTTCCCCCTCCCAGCCTTATATCCTGGCAGATGAGTTGCGTCGAGAGCTGCCTCCTGAGCAGGCTCAGTACTGCATCAAGAGAATGCCTCCGTACACCGGCCCGGGCTCCGTTCCTGGGGCGCTGGATTACACCTCTTTTTCATCAGCACTGTATGGAGAGAGCGACCTCTGATTCAGTAATTGGCTGTATTCATGGTAGACACTAAAAATACCCACCTTATTGCCCAGATTGCTTCTCAAAAGCTTTGACAAGCTGATTTAAAAACAAGTTTTACAAATACAGTAGGTACTGTCAGTGTAAAGTGCTAGTAACTGAAGTAACAGGTGTATATTAAAGTGTGCAGCACGCTAGATACCTGCCTTGTTGGTTTTAGGTTGTCTGTCCTATGCAATACTAGAAAATATATTAAAAATACTGCAAGATATTAACTTTGGAAATGTACATTCAGAAAACAGAATGTAAAATCTAAAAACTTTGAAACTTGCAAAATATTTCTCCATTTTCGAAATGTTTCAATGCCATATGCGCTTCTTTTACGATGTTCATGAAACTACATTAGATGTCATGCTTTTTTTCTTTCATAGAGCAATATTACTTTCCTCTCATGATTTCTGATTTTGTATGCTTCTATTGGTGGAATTTAATAAAATACTAAAATGCAGATTTTCAGGGAAGAAATACAACAACCACGTAAAGTACTTAATTACAAAAATAATCCAGAATGCTATGCTTTCGTCACCAAGAGTTGTAATATAAGGGGGAAAAGCTGATTAAAGTGCAGTTTTAGAGTTCTGTAAGCAGTTCTTTTCTTTTAGGCCTTTTGCAGCTGAGGGAATACAACTTTTATAATCAGAAATAACACGGAAGCTAATTTCATGTGAACTATTTTGTTATGAAACCCTCATTCTTGTCTATGTTGGACAGTCTTTGTTTCTCAGTATAACAATGCATTATTGTATGTATTAGGGGGCAGCATTCATCTCTATCCTGCATAAAGCAAACTCCCATCTGAGCAAATGTAGTATGGTTGTCTAGCAGCTTTAACTGTTCAGTGCTCAAAATTCAGTTTGTCTTGACTTGTGCTGCGTTGCAGGCAGTTCTGTCTGTACCCTGCTCCTGTGCGCTACACGTTTACTGTTTCTTTCCATCTTGAGAAATGACAGAGAATAAAAGCAGTAACTTTTTTACTTGAATCCTACCGACACTGAGGAAATGCAATGTAATCAAACAAAACCATTTACAAATGGTGGAGTGAGCTGTGCAGCCCAGTGCTATTAAAGCAATGATGTGCCTATTAAATAAAGTCTGCTTTTCAAAACCTTATGAGACTCTGTGGTGGGCAATTAACCTAGTGGCTCCCTCTAGGAACTGGAAACATTTATGAACATCAAAGGAGTTTTCAGACGCTAAAAATTCAAAGTCTGTCACACATTTCAGTACATTGTGTCTTCATGAACAACAGTCTCTGTGTGCTGGAGGGACAGGTCTGGTTTCATGAAGAGAGATGGAGCTGAGAATGAGTAGGAGAGTTTCCATTTAGGTCACCTGAGCACAGATGTCTACAGCTTGTTAGACTCCAAGCTTAGATTGATTTCAGTGGGACTTAGGCACTACTGCTTTTGAGGACATTGGCCTTTACTTTTCTGTATGTCACTTTTTCCACCTGTGCAAAAAAGCAGATGTTAAGTATGCAGTAGTGCTTTCACTGGCCATTGTTTGGAAATCTATGGATGGCAAGTATTAAAAATCTGTGTGTGATGTCAATCCTAAAGCAGGTTAAGGTGGGTGGAGTGGGAGCAATTTCAAAACAATCCCAGAGAGACAGATGATGACCAAATACCTCTTCCTTCTCCCTTCTGTACAAAGACCAGCAGAGGACTTGCCAGGGCTAGGATCTCATCTCCTACAGTGCATGTGCAGCCTTGCACACAGACAGAAGCTGCTACTGCCACTGCTGATAATGACACGGTGCAGTGCAGTCTCCTTCTGTGAATACAGTGCCTGTGCAAGCTAAGTCAGGAAGCTCTGCCTTAAAGCAAAGACATTTCCAGCTAAATGACTGCTGGTCAGGCTGAATCCTATTGAAAAATAAATCTGTACATCTCTCATTGTCACAGTTTAATGCAACGGGAAGAATAAAACATTGAGCTTCTGAATGTGGCACAAAAGCAAAATGTTAGTGCTACAGGCAGGATTATGCAAAAGAATTGCCACAAAGTTTGTATCTAACACCTCTGTCAGGTGTTGTTTGTGTTCTCTACCCACTAATTTTTATATTGTCATATTATTAACTGTTTTTGATAGTATGGAAGGGGCTTCTAAGCTCCTCCTTCATCTGTGCTCTGTTGATCAAAGCATGTGAGAGATAATGTTATCACCAGCAAGAGAATAAAACTTTTGTAAAGTAGTTTTTCCAATCTTATATCAGGTTTCTGATTTCTAAAGTAGAATGAACAGAACCAGTAGCTGAGAACTGCAGGGATTAATTATCCATTCACACTTGCCTAAAAATGTTATACCATAACTATTACTTTGATACGTCTTACATGTAAAATGAAGATATAACACAAAATTGTTTCTCCTAGGATCAATATAAGTAAACTGTGTTATTTTACCCTAAAGAGGGTAATCCTCAAGGTCCTTTAAAATATTCTGTGATCACAGTTTAGGGCAAATTTGGGAGAAAACTCTAAATGGAATTCAGGGCCTGTGGGTTTATGCATTTTCTTTTCCTCTAAGGCTCTGTTTTTAGTAGGTGGCATTTGTGTATTTCTGCAGGATCACTTTTCACACTGTGAATCAATGCAGCAACGTTTTCTGTCCACATAATTCAGTCAGAAAACTAGTTTTATTATTAAAGGAGTACAGTAGCTGAGTCGAGGGTAATGAATGCGTCAATCACAGGGCCCAAATCAAGGTTCAGTAGCTGGAGGAACAGCATTATTTTGATGAACATGAGAATGAAAGTTGTAGAATAATTGTAGAATAAATTACAATTCACAAAAGTTAGTAAGGCTTTAAGTTGCTTTAATAACCATAATGCAGATGTCTTCTTTGACTTTACATGAAAACAACAGTTCCTTGGAAAATTTTCTGCCAAGATAATTTTGATTTCATAGTATTAATTTTCAGACACTGATTTTTTAAAAGGTGCTGATACAGGTCTGCTGTCAGCTGTATGGTACCTACACACCTCCCTTCTTTGTACACAGTTTCCACCACCGTTTTCTTTGGCTGACCACAAAATGCTTGGGTCAGAGCCACTGCTAGGGGCTTGTATTTTCATCAGAACATCCTGTTGTTCTGTTTCTGAATTCTTGGAGGAGATCATATTCTTTTCTTCAGGTTGTTCATGGTGTATGTAAAGGTTATTCCAGACACAAGTGGTCTCACTGAAGGAGGAAAATAGTTCCTGTTAGCAGCTGGATTTGGATGGTAAGCAGATCTTTTCTTGGCTGAAATAGCTTGTGATTGAGACTAATTCTGTAAGGAAGAAATTGTTTGATCATCACTAGTAAATGAACAGGCGCTTTGGAGTGTGCTTTCATCACTGTAATGGTACCAATATTTTCGGTGGGCTTCTACAAATAGTCCCATTAATATTTAATGAGAAAATAATACCTATTCATTACCTGTGCCACTTTTCCCCAAGTTTCATGGTTAACAACCTGGGCACTTATTTACTTGTGCATCAGTCTACCTTCTGCTTGTGTTCAGAGGGCATTTTACTTGGGGAGCCACTTCAGCAGCATCAAACCTGGATTAATGACAGCATGTTCTGGTGAGATTCTACCTGTTTTAGATCAAATTTTTTTATATAGAAAAACTGACTGTTCTAAGCTGGATTTTATTTCACATTAGTCTCTTTTTAAAATATGTAATTCCTTTCTAATTTTAACCCAAGGTGTGGGCTGCCACCACAAAGGACAAGTCTATCTCTACTTTTTCCATGATCCCATTAATTTATAAATAGAAAAGTTCCCTGGTCTGATTACCATGCTGGCTGGGAATACATATCTAGAGTGCTTAGAACTGTAGATTATCCCCTGGAGCAGCAGCCTGTATTTACATTACCTTAAAGTGATTGTATAACTGGAATTAGGGGCCCAGCCACCCACCACCCACTTTCACTGAAAGTCTTTTATTATTCCCAACAAAAGAACATTTATGTGCAGACAACAAACCTTGAGCCAGTACTAGGAGTGCCTCCATTTCCTTCATTAATTAAGGCAGCTATGTTAAACAATAAGCCAAATCTTTTCCATATATGAGCTTGACTCGGATTTTGTATTCTAATCTTCAAAAGAAATTCCTCTGCTAATTTTCTAGGTTTTGGGAAATTTCATTGGCATTTGTAATACTGCTTTTCACAATTTGTTTATCAGCATATTGCTTTAATTACTTGGAAATCAAATATATTGGATGAATATCCAGAGACAATAAATGTCCCAAGGCTACTTTAGCACCCACCCATTCCTCATCTACTTGCACCTGGCTGTTTTGTTTCAAAACCTGGCTGTTTTATTTGGCCCCAACACATGGAAACTTTCTTCCTTTCAGGAGTCCTGTTAATGCTTTGAGTGAAAAATGACCTTGAGCGCTGTCCTTGGGAAGAGTGGTTATCCCGTGTGCTCTCCTGAGCTGGAGCCCTCCAGCTGCATAAGGGATACTTGTGGCAGAAGCCCAGGTATAGAACAGCTCTTCTGGCTCAGACACTGAAGGTCCTGTTTCAGGTTTCAGCTGTTCTACTGATAAGACTGAAAGAGAAGAAATGTTTGCACAAGTTGCCAGCAAATCTGGCCTTGATTTGAATGGAACTGTCAATACAGGCCCAGCAAATTATTATAATTTTAAAAAAGGCACCACAGAAAAGCAAAGAATCGCTGTATCAAACATCTTGTTCAGACTTGTATCCTGGCTCCAACCATTACGAACAGAAGGAAAAATGGAAAAGTCTAACAGGAGATGGCAAGTAGTCATGTGTGACCAAAAGAGTCTCCAAGCTGACAGTAATTTGTGAGTCACGAATTTGTAGAACTCTGCACACTGATGCCAAATTTTAGTCTGTTTTTCTGCCAAAGTAATATATTTGTTTTGAGAGCTCCTTCTTTATTCCTTTCAGTAGGACCTGCTGCATCTATAAACCCTCCACTAGCCTATTGGTTATAGTTGAAAAACAGTTTTACTTTTTATGCCTTTATCTTTTCTATACTGTTTCCCAAAGTCTTTTTGGTTGCTCTGGTTATCCCTTTATTTTCTCTTAACCTACCAGAATTAATATGGACATGATGCCAGCTTTCTGAAGGATGTTTGCAAAACACAGGGAACAAGAGAGAGAGGAAGTGTTACCTCCCAGGAAACAAAACCCCAGTAACAGTTTTTAAAAACTCTTTAGCAAACCTATTTAAATGAAAATCAGACACCCAGTAATGTTTGGGGGGTGCCCAGTGAGTGTGATGAACATGTAGAGCAGACATGACATGGTCAAGCACAACATCCCTGACGCCTTGTCTGTTGCTGCTGTCATTAAACCAAAGGCACAGAATCTAACAGTGGGTGGTCTTGCTGTTATTTGTGCAGTGTCTAGGGACAACACTCCATGGCAGCTCTAACTTTTACCTTTGTTATTTGCTAAGGGAAGGTGACAAGGCCTGATCTGCCACAGCAAGCTGGCAAACATTCATACTGTCCAGTAAACACTTTTGGCACTTGGAAGTAATATCTCTCTCATTATCTGAAGTGACTTGTGGGCTTGAGGGGCTGAAATATCAGTATTTTAGTATGTAAATAAAAATGTAAAACTATTATTACATTCTTTAGCTGTTGAATTATATTTGATTTTTTTCCATTTTTCATTTTAAGTGCATATGCACTTGAAAGAAGTGGAAATTATGCTTGTGGCAAAAAGAAAAATGTAAACCTTATATAAAAAAAAGACACATTTTTTAACATTTTTCATTCTTCTTAGCAAACAAAAAATACATTTCTATCAGCTGCCTATACTTAAGAAGTATAGCACTACAATCTATAAACACTACATACTAAATGTTTTGATTATGGTTGTGCAAACACCTTCCATCCATCAAGAATTAATAACTAGTTTTGCATTTTCTTTCAGCGGGAAAAACCGAAATCATTCAATTATGACCCCACCTGACTGCTCGAACACTCTCCCTCTTCTGGGAGCTTAAGTAGATTTTCTGTAAGACTCATTGTTTCTTCAAGCCAAGCCATGAACCCAGATGGCCTGGCTGGCCTTATTTGCAAGGGACAACTGGAACAGCTAGAGTGAAATGAGCATTCTGCCTTTTGGAAATGCTCAATAAGGCAACATCCTGGTCAGGGTCATTACCCCTTCTTGTAGTGGTGGCCTTTAACTGAAGTGCTGCGCTGCAGACAGGATTGCCTTTAGCAGTGGCCATTAATTTGCCTTTTCTGAGGAGGCACCGCCCTTCCTGCCAGCATTCCTGTCTCTTGGAATATCACTTTCCTTTCTAACTCAGACACCAGCCTCTGTCTGCCACTGCCCTTTTCCTGCTTTTAACAACTGTCCCTTAGAGCTTAAATGTTTCTGACTGGAAATGTTGACTCAAATCTAGTTTAATGATTTCAAGGCACCCTTGAACTGGATTTTAAAGGGAGAAACTTTATTTCTACTTGATCAGAATGCAGTTATTCTTGATTTGTACTAAGGCAATAGAGTGTTCTTCCCTTTGTTTTTATTTAGTATCTTTAGCTTTACCTGCTACTCCTGAAGTGTTTATTAGACCCTTCAATGCTTTCCAGTCATCAGGTCTATATGGAAAGATGTTTGTGTACCACATGAAAACCTAAGATATAAACTACAGATTATTCCACCAGCACCTGCTGGCATCGAAGTCCACGTGCTTGCAGTGAATTTTGCTCTACATAGTAAAGAGGGGATGGGAGACTTAAGTGTGATTAACCTACACCCCTCTACCTTCGTCATACCCTTCTGGAGGCTTTGCCAGCTCCCAGTGTACCTGTCCTATCTGCATGTGGGAGAGCAAATAGGAGAGAAGGGAAGGATAAAACATTATTTTCACATGCCAGAATATACAGGGAGACTTGAGTTACTTTCCCTTGCAGCTCTCCTATGTTACCTCCAAGCTCAAGTCATTTGAGTTTGCTTAATCTTAGATTGCTTAATACATTTTAGGCTTAACAAGTGTTAAGGCCCAAAATGAAGTACTTTAGTCTGACAAGACAAAAAAAGAGATTAAAGGAAAAGAAAAACTGGAAGAGAATCATTGTAGACCACAGCCTAAGAAAATAAACTTTTCACTTCTATGTTGAAAACTTGCCAAAGAGTAAGACCTGGAAGGTATCAGTAATCAAGAGGGTGGAAATATTTGTCCCTTAGTATGACAATTTTTTTTCCCTTAGTATGGGAAATTTTTTTTTAATGTAAACATGTATTACTGATAACTAAAGAAAGACTCTGCCCTAGAGGAGCGTTCCCTGTCAGTGTGTCTTGCCCATTCTATTGCTGGTGTAAGAGGCTGCTTCTTCCTCAAAATTTTATTTCTGAAGCTTAGGCAAGATTTAGAACCAACATCACCTCCAAGTATTTTTTCATATTTCTTCATTTCTTCATTCATACACAAGACTTTCAGCATTAAGGTTCTTTTTTTGTCTGATAATTCTATATTGTTGTACCGCTTGCATTTTTCTTTCATTTAATATGTTGATTTGAAAACAATTTTCTTTAGTTATAGTTAGTTCTTTACTCATCTCCAGCAAAAGAAGTTTTGTTGAAGGGTTTGTATTTCTGGAAGAGGTTCCTAAAACTTGTTTTCTACCTCATGTTTGGGACTTCAATCCATGCTGCTCTTTCCTTGCTCCTGACCTCATCGGCTTCCTTCTTCCCTCTCTGTTTCTGCTCTGCTAGAATGAATTGGATGCATAGGAAGGGATAGCATTGCTCAAATCCCTCTCAAAGTAAGGGAGATGGTGTCTGCCTATAGCAAGGGCAGGGAAAATGTCACTGCTATGTCTGTGATCATAAGCAGATTCCACAAAGTTTTGAAGCCTAATGTGTTAGACTAGAAAACAAACTGAATGAACCATGTGGTTTCAAAGCCCTTTAAAGAGAAGAGAACTGCCTATAAAACATTATTTTTAAGAGATTGTTGACAACATACTGGACTGTTTCTATGTGTAAGTTAGAGAAAGCCAAGTAGGGCACTGGTCTTTCAAGGTACTTTACACAGAAAGATTCCCTCTGCCCTTGCAAAGAAATCTTACAAGGTTTTCTGTTTAATGAAAGAACGTGATGGAATTGAGGCCGCTCTCTCCCAGGGATGGAGCCATGCCTGACAGCTGGATGCACTGCTGGGAGCTCTCCAGTGTGAGAGCTGACATGACCTGTACATGTCCCTTTTCTCTGCCTCATTGTGCCAAGCTTGCACTACCAGGATGCAGATGGTTTGGCTACTTGGCTTTGTCTTTTATTGTCCACCATTCAAAGCAGCTCAAACCTTTCTATAATCCTCCTCAGTTGTCACATTTTTGTGGATCTCAAGCTGTGTCGAACACAAACCAATGTGCTTGTCAGGAGGAGTGTAATCCCATCCGCAGCGCACAGGCAGCAAAAGTATGCCTAGGGCTTGTGCTCCGACAGCTCCCTTCAGCTGCTGGAGTTTATATCTCTGAGCTTGTCTATCAACTGGTACGGCCCTGAGAACACCATCAGCCTCTCTCCTATGATTTTGATGTGGATGCCTGAAAGGTGCATACTTGGAGTTTTAAAAATGCTGCAAAATTTCATAATGAAATAAATATAAAATATTTACAGGTATAAACCTGTAACTAGTTGAAAGTAGTTGACAGAGTTGCCAGCAGAATGAATAAGCTGTAAGACTACACCCCCTATTGAATTCCCAGTCCTCTCATGCCTGCATTTTAGTCCTTGCACGCATTTATACAGTTTCATCACCGAATATTCTCTAAAGTGATGGAAAAGCTTATATTCAGTTCACTCTAGTGTGTTTGATTTCACTTTCATGAGGACTCTGGGTTTTTAAAAATAGTGAAGTACAAAATCTATGGTAAATACATACCATAAATTTGTTGGTATTTCCCTGAACTGCAGATCTTTAATACGCTACTCTGACATTTGGAGTATGCCTAGAATTGATCTTGAAGCACTCAGCTTTCTCTTGCCTTCAGGTAATATTTTGGCCCTGAAAGAAAAATGTTAAGATCATAATTTGCCTTATACAGAACATACAGATAATTTGTGTTTGGATCACTAAAAAATCACCCTCTAAGTTGCTGGTCTACAAAATTATTAAAAATAAATAGTAATTCTTAAGCTCAGAGGAAATTCTGAAAATAAGAAACAAGTAGTGCTACTTAGTCATCCAAAATAGGGCAAGAATAAAATAATCCAAAAGTCATCCAAAATAGGGCTGCAGCAAAACAGCACAAGTGGTAACTTCACAGAAGAGTGCCAAGAGCTGTGCACTGAAATCAAATTAATCTGTTTTCCCCTTCAGACTTCTGCATGGAGCTGTGAATGCTTTGCTTGGATATATTTCTCTGAAATGCAACTGTTCTGTAGTAACATGAATAATTCTACTGTTACTGTTTAAATAAGGATTATTATGTGAATAACCCATTAGGAACTGCATCCTCAGAAATAAAGGCAGATAATATGGGAAGAAGAGGTTTATTTTTGTAATTAATATTGCAGAGGTATTTAAAACACAACCCCAAAAACTAAGAGTGGGCTAAAGACCTGTGCTGGATCTTACACACGTGGAAGGTGAGTGTGTTATTTGAATGCATGGTCGTGCCAATAGAGTAATAAGCTGGTGAACAGATCCTTGGCACTGAAAAAAATAATCAAAATATGAGGATGGCTTTGTTTGCTTCAAACGCTGCCTGGTTTTAGGAGATCTTTTAGTGAGAGCTTATTTCTATGTGTGG